GCGGAGGTAACCGCTGTTACTATCGTAACGTCGCCGCTGTTGACTCGCGTTGCCTAGCGACCGCGATATCCCTCGGTGACGTCACCGCGGAGGGGAGTGGCGGGGCGGGAACTAGCCTATTACCGTAAGAACGCGAGCGTTACGCCACCGCCACGCACCGCGGGGGGAGGTAGGGGTCAACATGTCACACTATCATCAACCCTTCTGCAACAGTGTTTCGTGACAAAGAAATATTTTTGAAAATTTGAACCTTATTGGGACATACAATTTCTGCGGTTTTTACAAGACACTCTTTTACAACTTCACTTTCTCTAAAACATTTAGAATTCTTTGCTTTAAGTTCTGCAATTACTTAGCTTGCTTTAACAACGGCTTCATTGTCTCGTTTCACGTTCTTAAACAAAGACTGTTGCTTGACGAGTGCAGCCTTAAAATCCCGTAATTTATCTTCCCTTGGTTTTTCTTTATACTGGTCGTATTTTTCACGACTGGTTTCGTAATGCCGTCTTACATTGTACTCTTTTGGAACACTTATATTTTGCCCACAAACCAAAAATGTAATTTTACCTTCTATTTCACAACAAAAATAAGCGATTTCCCATTTTTCTTTAAAAACACGGCGCTCATTTTCAATAGTTCTTTTTTGCCACTTGAATTTTTTGAAAGCGACATTGTTACTGTTTAATTGTAACCTTTATACACGTTCATCACAGTGTAACATCAGCACCTGTCGCTGTGTGAAAATGAACTGAATGACAAAGTTTGCTACCAGCCCATTAGAAAATGGCTGGGGTTTACAAGCTAGTTTTGAAGGTAGAAATCCCTTGCACTTGTCTGTCAGTTGCCACCCTCCTTGCATTCTTAGTATGCTTCCAAAAGGGATTCTTGGAAATACTTGGGGTGGTGAGGCTGTGCGGATTTTAGTGCATTAACCTTCTCAAATACAATAGTTTGTCCTTCATGAACTTTACAAACAGTTAGTTGGACAAACCCTTCTGCAATTCTCAGAATCTCTGTTCCTGCAGCCTGCTAATTTATGTCTGCGTAAGACTTCTTGTCTTCTGGTCTGTTGGGAAATTGTCTTTACAAAAAATATTTCTACTAAAATTTTAATATTGATTTTAATATCAATTAGCTCTAAAAGTAGATGGGGCGCACTTTGTGGCTATGGGGGCCGCATGTTTGACATGGCTGTGCTAGGCAATCGGTAAACACGGCGATTACGCAACAGGGAAGCGAGGTGCGTTTTCCGCTGTCCTTCTGAGGGTTTATAAGAGAAACTGGAACGCCTAAGCAGGAGCAGTACCCCGTGTGGAGGCGGCGTCTAACACCTCCACCGGGACCTTCCAAGTCATAGGAGGCTACGAAAAGGGAAGTCTCAAATGTAAGACAGTAAAATATGGTCGCAAATACCAAGGAACTAGGACCCGAGAAACACTGCGCTGGCAAGAACCAGCAGCATATGCAAAAGACAGACCCGTCCTCTCGTCAGAGAGGGCGCCCCACAGAAACAAGAAAGTAACAGTCGAGGAGGAATAAATATCTGGCCATGGGCCTCAGGAGGGTGCTCGATACCAATACTGACTGACTGACTGACTGACTGACTGACCGTCAGTCGCAATGTTACTTGGACTTGGACTTAGGAGGAGAGTGGAAGTCTAGCAGTCGCCGAGTGCAGTTGCAATCTTGCAGTCGTCGGAGTTAGTTGAGCATTAGTCTTCGGTTTCCAGCCTTCGAAGAGATGAGGTGAGGTGAAGTCCAGCAGCCACGAGTTGTTGTTAAGTTGTATCGAATGAATGGATTCAAAACAGTTGAACCCAGGAAGTGACTACACAAGATGACATAATTGGGACATTGTAAATTGTGTAAGTGTAAGAGCGAGTGTACAATAAATTCGCTACATACAAGACGGCGTGAAGTTGTTTGTAGCGTCATATACACAACACGTGACAATATCGTATATACATGCACAATACACAATAAAAACGGACATTACAAAATCGTATTTATTGTACGAAAATATTTGACATATCTAATAAGTTTTGAAAGCATGAATTTATTCTTAATAAAAGCTAAAATCAAGGTAAGGGCATGTACAATGAAACCTCGATCTATCGTTCCCTGATATATCGTTTTCCCGGATCCATCGTTCCAATTTTTGTGGTCCCTGAATAAATCCTATTTAAACTATGGAAATAAAACCCGCATTGATCGTTATTCGATTTATTGTTTTCCCGCATCTATCGGTTGGAATTCTTGGTCCCCATGAATGGTAATCCCGCATTGATCGTTTTAAGAAAGTGCAACACCACACAAATATTAGTAAGCATTCGTAGTAGTAAAAGAGGTAGATGAAGAAAGCAGACTTCTGGGATTTGGC